CAAAGTTGACTGGGAAGTAAGAAGCCAGAAAAGATTTCCAGAAACAAGAAGTGTGATAGAAAAAACTGTTAGCATAGAACTTATGTTTACATCTATCCATTTCAGCTGTAAAATGATGCAACATTGCTGCCAATCTAGTCCTGCACTTAAATTCATAAAATCTAAGTACCAATGAGAAAAGTTTACCATAATTTATAGAAAAAGCCCAGGGAAGCTACATTATGGCAGTGAAAAAGTGACTGAAACTGAGATGCCAGGTCAGGACCAATAACATAGCAGAGTTTTCTTGGTACTTTATTAAGAAATTTTAAATTTGTAGGACTTTTCTTCCAAAAGATCAGCAAAATTGTCTATGGTGTATGTTAATGGTGAATGATGCAAGGATATTTTATTTTTTTATTTTTCATACACTCACCAAATGTCTGAAATTTTCTAATTTAATGCAAATGACCAATTTTATTTGCTCCTGTGATTTAATATGTCTAAAATTAGATCTTGTCAACATCTATAAAGTTCCCTTCCCAAATTACTTTATCATGTATATTTAGTTCAGTTTAACTGGCTATTAAATCAATTTTAGTCCAGATATTTACTCAGTCACTTAATTATTTAACACATTTTAATCCTAACAGATTCACATATATTATCTACTTATAATTTATGTTCTAAAACATTGATAAGGAACAAATCTCAATTATACTTAAGTGCAGGGCTTTACAGATCCCTCCAAAAAAGAGCAAAGGAGAAGAGGGCTCATTTTATATTCAACCGGAGTAGCGCGTGAGCTGCTTCATTTGGGACATTTCTTGCAGGAAACAGTCTGAAAAAAATGTCTTCAAAAGAGTTAGTTACTCATAGAAAGTCTTTGATGTCATTTATTAGATAAGTATGTGTGTGAGTGTCAGTGAGAGAGAGAGAGTATAAAAGTTGTCTGTAGATATTGGTGTGGGAGAAGAAACGTTTGAAGTTTTTTTTTTTTGTGACAAATTGTCATTGCTGAATGAATAAACCAATGTTTTCTTTTTAATTTACTGACAATTTACTTTTGTACACAATATTGCCGCCATTATTTTTTTTTTTTAAAGAAAGTTATTAAAAAGTAAATGAAATTTTTACAGGTAATAACTTCTGTTCAATTTTCTCACCTATTTCCCTCGATATTCCATGCAAATGTTGAATAAAATTGATTCTTGGTCTGAAATAAAATTCTAATTTGCTTTTTAACGTATATAAATTTGGGTGCCCGGAAAATTTGGTAACTATGAAATAAAAGTTGATTGAAAATTGAAAGAAAAATTACAAAAAGGGAATAAAAAAAAAAGAGGCTATATAGATTTTGCTTCTTTAAAAAGAAATAACTATTTAAAATTTAATTTATTTACTACTTTTTTATTAAAATAATAATTTGAAAATAAGGTACAGGTACTTAACTTTAACTTAGATAAATCAATTTTATTTGCTTACAAACAATAGAGTATAGTAATTAAATACTCATTTAAAAAATATTTATTTAAAAATATTGGAGGGGCACTTAGCACTTTAAACATCCAATCCAGACATTACGGCCCTGATATTGTTGCAGTAGGTTTTTTTCTGCACCACACCATAGGTAATAATACTTTTTAAAAAAATATTGAGGAAGCAGGCTTAGGCTCCTAAGCATTCTCTTCTGCAAGTACGGTCCTGCTATTGTTGTAGTGGGGTTTTATCTGGATCCCACGATTCTCAGTTATATAAAAATATAGAGAAGTGGGGGCTTACCCCTCCCAAATTCCAACTCCAGAATGGCTGTAAAATCAAATTTTCAATCAACTTTTATTTAATCTGTTACCGAATTTTCCTTTTTTCTAAATTCATAAAATTGAAGTTTTATGCCGAATATTTAGTGCCCGGAAGATTTGGTAATGGAAGATTCAGTTAGTTACTGAATTTCCCATTACCTAATCTTCCATTATTGAATTTTCTGGACACTACTGCAACAATATCAGGGCCATACTTTCTGCATGGTGGGGTTATGGGGCTAAGACCTCCTCTAATATTTTTAAATATTTTTTAAATAAGTAAAATCGATTTATCTACGTTAAAGTTAAGTTCTTGTATCTTCTTTTCAAATTATTATTTTAATGATACTTTGTTTTAAAGAAAGTGGAGATAACCTGGACTCTCTCATGAACAAACTTGAGCTTGAATTCTTTAGGAAAACAGGTATTCATTTTACTGGAGAATACCTGGGGGTAATGAGTCCCTTTGTGCAAGTGCTAAATCTGCTCCAGAGTGCGATAAATTGTTACATTGGCTTCATCCTTCCAACAATTGAACTCTTGAAGAGAAAGCTTAGAAGAAAAGAACACAAATTGTGTTATTGTATGCCATTAGTGGATAAAAGATTTGCTTCACAATTTCGAAATAGAAATTACCTTCTGGTGGTATTTCTAATCCTGCAATATAAAAGCTTGGACTGGGTAAATGTCCAAGAAACTAAGACATATATCTTGGAAGAGGTTAAGAAATAACTGTGCAGCCTGAAAAGAGACTATTCAGGTTGTAGGTCAAGTAGCAATGAGGAGTCTGAGGATGACTTCTTTCCAAGAGTCCAAAAAACAGAACACACAAGTGCAGACATTTTGAACCAATATACAAGTGCTGGAATTGCAACAATTGAGGAATTGGCCAAATATCCAGAAATGTATGAATTATTTTACAAATTCAACATGGCCTTTCCCTCATCAGCATCTATTTAGAGACTATTCAGCCTTGGAGGAAGAATTTTTTGAAAAAAACTGTCACAGCTTGAAAGATGGAAATTTCAAAAAGCAACTATTACTAAAGTTAAACTCCAGTTTATGATAAAATTTGTAAAACTAAATTTGCTGTTTGTTGAGGTAATTCTTTTGGAGTTAGGAATGGTATATACCTTATAAGGAAGTACATTGAGGGAACTTTGGTATGTTTTTATGGGTAAAGGGTATACTGACAGGCTAAATGTTGGTTCTTATTAGATTTGGGTACCAAAATATCTCATACCCAGCTTATTAATTGCAAAAATATCCAATGTTTATGAAAGAAGGTACATTTTAGCTATGGAGTGCCAAAAAACAGGTACTCTTTTTTTTAATGGAGTTGGAGCTGGAGTGGCTCCTTTTTGAAAACGGGGAGTGTGAGGGGAGCCAGCTCCAATTTTGGGTATGTGAGCGGGAGTGGGAGCAAATAGTGGAGTGTGTAAAGCTCTGCTTAAGAGTAATTGGTTCTTTCAGTATTCCAGATTGTATTGTAGTAAAAGTTTCAATTGGACAGTGAGATAATAGTTTCTGTATCTTTCATCATCCTCCAATTTACTATAAGTGTGGATAAGTTGAAACACACACACACACACACACACACACACACACAAGGTCTATCTGAAAAGTAACAGGACTGGTGTCACAAACAATTTATTTCAATTCCAAGCAAGAAACTACATGGTTTCGCCTTCAAAGTAATCCCCCTTGAGTCTAATGCACTTTTCAAGTTTTGTCTGCCACACTTCTTTGCACCGTTGGAAAGATTCTTCTTGGATGCTCCTCAGCTCTATCGTTATGGCTTTCTTGATGATTTCCTACCTTCAAAACTTGAAGATCCCTTTGAGCTTGAGGAAAAGGAAAATGGCATGCAGAGCAAGATCATGTGAATAGTGGGGTTGCTCCAGGAAGGTGATGTTGTTCTCATCTAGAAACTGCCAGATGTTCAAAATGTTGTGAGCAGATGCATTGTTGTGGTGAAGGAGCTATGATTTGTCCTACCACAACTCTTGCCTCTTCTCACACACTGAGTGAAGCAAATGCTGCAGAATTTCTTTGTAGACTTACTCATTAATTGAAGTAGTTACTTTGAAGTGGAAACCGTTTAGTTTGTTCTTTGGAATTGAAATAAGTTGTTTGTGACACCAGTCCTGTTACTTTTCAGACAGATATTATATATATATTATTTACTTTTTTGGATTAGGGGAAATCAAATTATTTCAATAGATATACAAGGGTGAGTCAAAAAGTAATGCAAATAAAAAGAAATAAGGAACACAATGAAACATACCATACATCAAGATATTCTTACTTCTCAACATAGTTGCCATTTGTTTCAATGGCAGTGTCCCCACCTATGAATGCAGGCATGTATCCCAGCTTCATAAAACTCAGCTGGCTGCTGATGTTACCAATTCCTTACAGCAGTTTTCATTTCTTCATCACCACCATAACGTTTTCCCCCTCAGTGCCTCTTTCATGGAACCAAAGAGATGGAAATTTGAAAGTATTGTCAGGTGGTGATGTAGAAGTGAAAACTGCAGTAAAGAATTAGTTACATCAGTAACCAACTGAGTTTTACAAAGCTGGGATACATGTCTACATTCAAAGTTGGAACAGTGCCATTGAAAGAGTAACTATATTGAGAAGTAGGGATGTGAATCTGTGATGTATAGCTATAATTTGATGTATGATATGTTTGTGTTCTTTATTTCTTATAAAATAAATTGCATTACTTTTTGACTCACCCTCAAAATATATAAACTTTGCCAATTTTCTGGTTATAATTTTCCTTGCTAGAATCTCATTGTTTATTCTACCTGTCTAATTTGTCACTGGTTTCTTGATAAAGTAGATCTGAGATTTTATTAATCTACTTGCAATAAAATGTTTCTGTACAGGATGTGAACAGTGAACTCAATAGATTAGTTATAATATCAAATCAATATTGGAAAGATGGAATCATAGAAACCTGTTGGAATGAAAATCCTGTGATAAATCGCTGTAAAACTGATGAGCTACTTTAGATTAAATTTAACCAAATGTTGCAAACAATGTATTATTTATTATATTTTTGTTATGAATTATATTAAAATACAAAAGGTTTGAAGAATAATCTAAAACCTCAGTTGTGCCTGAATTTCATTCTGTTATTGTTCAAATTTTTTTAGTTTTCTGATATATTCAGCTTTTGACTGACTGACTAATTGTAATATGTTACAGAGTAAAAACCGACATTTAGTTGATGGCAATTCATGCCACGTGGTAAGTCTGTCATTTCTACTTATAACTAACCAGTAATATAAATCCTTGTTACTTGCTTATCAATAATTAAATCTTTTTTTGCTTTCTTTCATGGCTTTTGATTCAGACTTTTAGTGACTTGACTAAAATTCCTAATTTATCTTGAACTATTGATTTATAAACTAATTTAAAAGAATTATTTTGCTTAAAATTGCATGTTTCATTTACATTAATTCTCTGCTTGTAAAGAATGACAAAATTCATGTTATATCTTTTATTGTGTCATTAATTAAAAAATTAAAAAATTACCGTAACAAAGTATACAATTCTGAGTAATGTACTAAGTAGCTTCATTATTAAAGATAATTAAAAGAAAAAAGTGACTGGCTGGGATAGACTTTTTAATATTTTTATTTTGCTCTCATTACAAATGAAAAGACTAACTTAAAATACTAAAATATCCTGATAAAAGGTTCAATAATTTTATCAAGTTATCTGCCATTGTTATTCGACCATATCTATTTGTTAGTCATTAGTCTCATAAATGCTTTCTCGGGGCTGTTGCATGTCTTTATTGATTTTTATGCTTTATTAATTACTAATTTGATCTTATACAATGATAAGTATTAACTAGTATTAGCTAACCTGTTTTGTTTTTTTAATTTTAGTAATGATAATTATTTTTGAAGTTGAAATGAATAAGGAAAAAAACTCATTTTACACATTACTAAAAAAAAAACTTATTTCATATATTTTTAAGCTATTACTTTCATTTTTATTTTTAACATGTTTCAGCAAATATATTAATTTGTTTTTTTACAGAATTATGGTGCATCTGCTGGTCTTTTTTTTCTTTTTTTATTTCCTTTTGAAAATCACAAGATTAAGCACAAAAGTCTCATGTTAGTGTTAACATGGTTGCTGATAGGATTTTGGAAAAATACTGTCCAATTCCTATCAAGAAATTTGCTTCTTATTGACTCATCATATTGGAATGTTAATGAGTTTACAATACAAAAAGTGTCACTGTTTTCATCATAACTTTGTTTCCTCTCTTGATATGAGAGATTTAACATTTTTGTAAGAACTGGTTTCCATATGGTATTAAATCTATATTTGCTTTACTTACACACACACACAGTTTTTGATATAAGCTAATGTGCAGCTATTTTCATCTTGGAAACTGCATAATGGATCCATATCTATTCTATTAATCTCATTTCAAAATGGACAGTATGTTATCTTTTCTTGCCATATATTTTATATAGGCTAACAGTTTCTTTTCTCACACTTCTCACTTGTAGAACTCTCTTTTCTTTCTTCGCAGTCAGCTTTGATCTTCAAAAATTTAAATGCAATGTCAATCTTTATCTTCTGTCTTAATTCTTATTCTCTTATTGTTCTCTCTCCTTAATAATTTTTTTCTCATTCTCTCACACTCAGTAACCCGTTGCATCTTAGTGATTTTATTGCCTTGCTTGGGGTGAAATTATAACAAAAAATTCTGTTTTGACTTTTTTACATTAAATAATTTCCATCTCTCTGTTGTGTGTATGTGTTATATATTCACAAACACACACACACACACAATTCCTGATATTGCACACTTTCTACCCATAACAAATTTTAAAGGCGATTGTGTGTGTATATATATATATATATATATATATATATATATATATACACGTGTGTGTGTTATCTCCTTTTGTTCTATTTTCTTCTGCTTTTTTAGCATAATGCTTCAATATAAAAGGCTTCCCTATTGAATACAGATCTTTTAGGATCTTTTCAATGGATTTTCTCTCATTGGATAGTAACCATAATTTGTGTTTTATGAAGTTACTTAATTTCCTTTAGTATTGTCTTTATACCTCTATATAGATTTATCCCACTGATGTAGGCAATATGTTCTTTTTCCTTCACTCAGAAAATGAAGGTTGTTCTCAAAGTCTTTGTTGTTTTCATATACATATATGATTTTAATGTATATTCTATACAAGATACTAGGACATCTGAGAAAGTAAGTTTAACACAATTGTTTTATGTTGAAATGTGTTGTGTTATGTTATTCACATAATTAAAAAAAAATGTGTTATGTTATTCACATAATTAAAAATAAAAAAATAAAAGCAGTTTCACAGTATTTGGAAGGTCAGCATGAGTAAACACACAAAATCAGCAAAGTTTATGATAAAATGCAGAGACTTTCCGAAAATTACATCGATAACAAGATATATGGCAAAATTAACTTTAGAAAAAATTCTCTTTAAAATAGATTTATTTAACAAGCTTCTGAAATGAAATCCTTTACAAAATATAATTTTCTTGATACTAATTAAAAAAAAAAAAAGTTAAGCAGTCATTTGAAAAATGAAAAATAAACATAATTTAAAATCTGCTGCTGCAATGGTTGATTTGTAAGTTTGTATGAAGCAACAATCAGAAAGTATAATATGCAAACATGAGTTTCATTTGACTGCTTCGATTTCAGACTAAACCTGAGCAAGATCTAATCCTTGTTCAATGTTTCATTGATTTAAAAAATTGTATTGAGAAAAATTTATTTTTATTTAATATTACACAGAGTATCATGATAAAACCTTAAAGCATCTTGTTACAAGAAGTTTTTTTCATTTTTTATCATATTAAGGACTTTATCCAGCCATGTAGGTAAAAGCCTTATTAATGTATAAGTATTCCTAAGTGTTATTTTTTTTTAATCATTTCACCCCAAGAAAGGCAATAAAGCCACTATTTAACAAGAGGTTACTACTATTAAGGAGAGAGAACAATAAAAGAACAAAAATTAAGAAGATAAAAACTGGTATTGAATTAAAATTTTTGAAGATCAAAGTTGACTGGGAAGCAAGAAGCAAGAGTTCCACAAGTGAGAAGTGATAGAAGAAACTGTTAGTATAGAACTTACAGTTACATCTCTTGTCATTTCAACTGTAAAATGATGAGCCCTTTCCACCAATCTAGTACTGTGCTTAAATTCATAAAATAAAGGTACCATAGCAGAAAGTTCATCAGAACAATTACCATGAAAATATTTATAGAAAAGGCACAGGGAAGCTACGTTACGGCAATGGAAAAGTGACCGAAGCTGAGATGCTAGGTCAGGACAAATAACATTGCAGATTCTTTGTATTTTGTTAAGAATCTCTAAATATATAGCATGAGCACCAGACCATATGTGGCAGTAATATTCAAAGCAAGGACAAATGGTAGACTTATAAATATGTAAGTGAGAAAACTTGTCTAGCATGAACCAACTTTCCTATCTGTAGACGTAGCAATTGATTGAATATTGTCTTTCCACTTCATGTCAGCTGAAAATGTTAGTCTGAGAAGGTATGCAGTGTGTCACTGTCTGATGGTTAGCATCAGCCATGCTGATGAAAGGTAAAAAGGATTCTCTCAGATGATTAAAAGAGAACAGTTTCATTATTGAGGCATTAAAAACAATGTTTTAATAAGAAAAAGGCCAAAATAATTATCACTATCATCTACGGCAACTGGCCAGAAGTTGGCTAAGACTAAAGCATAATGTGGTCTCAGGATTGCCCAATGGAAGTATATACAAGGACACTTTATACTTTAGAAATTTGTTGAAGAAGAAATGAAAATTATTTTTTTTTTATAATTGTTTGTATTTTACTGCATTTAATTTTGCATTATTTTAAAATATTTTTAGAACTGTTTTCTCTTACTCTCCATCTTTAAATTATCTGCATTTACTAACACTTTCTTCCTGCTTTTGATTCCCTCTTACTCACCTGCAAGTATTTTCCAGTTGTTCATCCTCTATTTCTTTCTTTCTTTGTTTTTATTCTCTCCTCTAACTTCTAATACAACCTACTACTTTTCTGTTTCTTTCAATTGTTGATGTATCTGAATTTTTGGTTTCCTTTCTCTTATTCAGGACCAGAAGGAGAATCTGTCCTCAAATCAGGAACTTGAAACTGCCATTATTAAAACAATTGAAGCATCAAAAAATCTACACAAGCAGGTAAGAATCTTGTTAATCAAAATTAGGAAGAGCTTACTTTGATTCTGAGCTGCTTCCAGTGACAGAAAATAAACTTTTGATTTGAAATTAGGTATAATTTATGTGTATTAAAACAAGTATAAACCAACCCAATTCTAATAATACCTAATTTTAAAAACTAGACAAATATCAGTAAAGAATATTCAAATTTATAGTCATTGGTATATAAACACCATGTGCTTTATAAAAAGTCACTTGATGTTTCAATGTTCAGACATGTTAAATAGATAATTAAGGTTACTAAACAGAATATTAATCACAAGAAAAATGGATAATTAGTTAAATGTTGCTGAAAAATGAGGATACTTGTTTGAATAAATCATCAAATTGAAAAACTTATTGATATTTTCAAATACATCTTTTTTTTATGTAAGATTCACATCCTTGTTTTGTTTTTAAATCTTACTTGATGTTCAAACTTTTATCTTTTCCAGAATTATGCCTAGAATTTTAAAAATCTGTATGTAATATGTATATGCAGGAGTTTCATTGTTTCTATATTGATAGAAAGACAAAAGGCATATAAGAAAAAGAAAAGAACAATGTCACTAGAAGTAAAGTTGCTCATATCTAAGTAGAATATAAGAACTTATACTCAGTTAAAACTTCAAAACCTTATTGTATACAAACTTTATTTTGGTCAAAAGTCCAAAGACCAAGATTTATAAACTGATTCAGGCAGCCTTACATTCTTATTGGTTACACATTTATTTGGCCTTGGACCACTAAAACACTCTTTATTACTTTAAGTATTAAGTTATACTTGAAAATTTGAGGTGCACTGCATTATTGCGAAAAGCAAAATAATGAATCAAATGAAGTGTTAATGTCTATTTTTACAGAGTAGATCAACCCAGAATTTAACCTGATCAATGGTATTGTGTTTAGTTCATGTAAGATCAAATACAATATATGTGATAGTGAATTTGATTTGAAAAAACAAAATTTTATATTTTATTGACTCTTGCTAATTCTGAATCCACTACTTTAACACCAATTACCGTTTCTTCTCTTTTATTTATATATATATTATATATATATATATATATATATATATATATATGGTTCTGGTTTTTAATAACATCTAATTGCAAGGATAAAGGAAAAAAGCTAAACTATTTTTTTAATGAGAATCTTTTGTTTAGAGTTGATTCTCCATAAAAATCTCTATTTTTTTTGTATATTAACTTTTGTTATAAAAATGTGTTTATTATTCTATCTAATGAGTGAATTTGGATTCCCTTATTTTCTATTTGGATTATAATTCATTGAACAACAATATATTTTCAGCTGCCAAATTATATTTACTTGCAATATTTACTTAGTTATAATTGTTGACCTATTAACATTTATTTTTTGTCTTTTCAATTTTTTACTTGAATAAACCTACAAAATTCATAAGGTTATTTGTCAAGTTACAAATTTTGTATTACAATTTTCATTTACAACCTCTATGGCAATTTATGTATTTATCTTATAAGAGAGAAAATATTTTTGTTTCTACAGTGTATTATTTAAGTACTCTAGAAGGCAATTGATATTCTTTAAAAATTAAGTCTTAAAATAAAAATATTTTTCCATTATCTTTTCTTTTTTTATACACATTTTTCCCTATTTCTTTAATTTTTTTTTTCTTCCAGCCTGTTTCTAATTTTTGTTAATTTTTCTTTCCTTTCCATTTTCTGAATTTTTTTTTTTTATTCAAGACTTCTTTCAATTACATTTTGTTAAGGGTCATAATTTGTTAAAGTTCTTCAATTATTATTATCATTACTACAGACTTTCTTCTTTACTTTTTTCTTTGTTTCTCTCTTGATTGCAAGTATCCCAACAAGAGACCCCTTATTAATGGATTTAGTTTAATCAAGTTTTTCATTCTTATTCCAAATATGATTTTGTCTTTGTCTTGACAAGAGTCTTTGAGAAGCACAAGATAGTGTAATCTGTTACCAAATCTGAATGAAAAGCCGCAGCCATTAACCCCTTTCACTTAATTGAGTTTTCAAAGATTCTATCTTCAGGTGCTTCTTGATTAGTTATCAGTCAGTTCTGTTCATACTTGAATTATTCAAGTCAATCACAAACTTGCCATTAATAAATTCCAGGTGTAAACTATTTTTAGAAACTGATCAGTGTTCCTATAGAAGTAATTCAATTTCTGCTAATGATGGCAATTGTTAGACCATTGTCAGAATCAAATGATTGTGAAAGAAAAATCCAAAAACATTTCTTAGAATTATAAGACATCTTGATATTCTTGATTAACATGTGTGGAAGTGATAACGTGTAATAACATTAACAATGAGAAGTGTTCAAATGTTGGCATATTGCAATGTTTCATTTTTTTTTTCTTTTTTCTTTTCTTCTATAAAAAGTAAATGTAATCAAAATTTTATTATAAAAATGAATTTTTAAATATAATGTGGATGAAAAGGCCTCTATGTAAAGTTTATCATTCTTATATATATATATAGGAGCACTCACCATAATGCAGTGGTTAGCAAGAATCCAATAAGTAATTTGTATTTCACTCTTAATTGGGTTTTCATGAATATGTTCATGTACCAAAATGTTTATTTTAATTTTGTAAATGACAACAACTGTCAGCATCAGAATAAAATGTAGTTGTAAAGAAAGGTTGGTTGGTATTAGGGCTGCACTGATTAATTGGCTGATGATTGGAGGTGCAGGTAGTGTAATTGTTATCAGCATTGAAAGTAGAATTGAGGAGCAGAGTTCATATTCACGCATTCACTTTTGCACTATGGCCTATTGAGATGGGTGAGGGGCATAAATCTATATCTTCTATTGCTATTATGTTAAATAGTAGAGAAGACTAGGTGACAACCAATCTAAGAGAAGGAAAAAAAGTTTGAATTCCAAACTGTAAAAGGAAAGAGAGGAAACAATTACACTATCTTTCCCAAGAAAATATGGCTATCTACAGATGAAAATGAAAAAGATGTAAAAAAACTATGAAGGGACATATATCATTTAATTATTAATTGGTTATTCAGCCATCATTTTTTCTGTTGCTGTTTTACTTTTCTAAATAAATACTTGTTATACTTTGTTATACTTATTTAGTACATTACAGAAATTTTATTCTTGGATTAAATATCATCTTATTATCATTAGTAATTATCTTAGAATTAAATAATATTCAGATAGGTTTTTATTAGTTTTGGCAATCTTTTTGGTGAGTGATTAAACTACCAATTATTGGCTGATTGATTGATACAACCATAATTATTATCAATGTATTTCTTTATAGATATTTAAAAAATGTAAATTTTAGCCCACTTCTGTTTGGTTAAATTTTTACAGCAAAGAATTTTCAGATAAAACTTCACTGATTCCATCCCTTTTTTGCACTGTAATGTCATTTTATGTGCATTTTGGAATAATATTTTTTTATGTTGCAAGACAGACTTATTTTTATTACAGTTGATTATGGGGAATGTTCATAAGTTAATAAGCCTGTAGTCTAATGATATGAAAGTATTTATAAGGATCAGTCAAAAAGTAAAGCAATGCATATTTTAATTAAATTTAAAAAATATTAATCAGAACTAATAGTAGCTTTTTTTCTAAAAAAAAAAAAATACTAGTGTCTATAAGTCTAGGGGAAAATTTATAGAGTTTCCTTCTCTTCTCCTAGCCATAAACTACTTTCAAAATGATCTGCTCTTCTGGACACACATAGAAAGCAAGAGCTATTAAAATTTCTTTTTGGAAAGAGAAAATGCTTCAAATAAACACTTCACTTGATGTAAGCAAAATAGATAAATGGGTCAGTAGAGAGAAGAAACTGACATTAGTGCCAGGTACTACAATGGCAGGCCAGCTTCTGCAATGAATAAGACAGGTTGATGCTCTCATTACTGTTAGCAGAAGAATCACTATTGCAAAACTCTGTGCAAGTCTTCAAGTAATCCATAGTTTAATGCAGTCTCTTGGCAACTCAAATTTAGGATATTGAATATTTTTTTGAAATCTTGAATATTTAGTTCATTTTTAATATTATCAATCTTAATTTTTATATGGATTTGTTTTAATGTAAAAAAAAAAAAGACAAATCATTACAGAAATGCACACATGTCAGTCATTTTCAGTTAATAAAAAATGAGTGCATTTAACTGAAAATATTTTTTAGATTAATCCTCTTGTATTCATTGTTATAATCTAGAAAAACACTGGGAAATTTTCATTAATCTCTTCCGTTATTGTAATTTCTTAACTAACATCTGAAGTGATAAAAGGAAACTCTACATTGTTACTTCCAAGTATTATATATTTTTGTTTGGTAGCAGTTAATCATTCCTTCTCTCTTGATAGTATTTTTAGAAATATAATCATCTTTAGTTTTAGTAAAAACAGAGTTATATTTATATAGGCTTTTTTAAACCAGCATTTAAGTTTATCTTCACTTAAAATGTACAGGTTGTTCTTTTTAATATATTTGTAATTTTTAATGTAAATCTAGCAATAAAAAGTTAGCATATGTTTTCACAAATCTCATTGGTTTTTTTGTTTTTTTGTTTTTCAGCTGCAGGACACCACAATGGACCAAGCATCTGAGCTTTTCAAAATCAATGAAGACCATGATCTGCTGAAGGGATTAAAACTTCATGGCCTGGCTGGATGTCCTGAGAAAGTTGACGAACTATCTGTCAAATTTAGAGAACATGCTGAACAACTAGAAGAGGTAATTTACAAACATTTCAAGTAACTTTTAAGTATTAGATATTGATTAAGTATCCAAGGTAATGGCATAAGATTGATAACCTGAAAAAAAAAATGAAATGACCAAAATGCTTATCATTATACTTAATGAATTTGCAGATGTTAGCAATGTCAATCTTGAAGTGAATAGAGGAAAAAAAATGAAAAGTTGCAGAATTATGTCTTTGCTTAGTGGTTGGATAATATTCAGAAACCACAACTGTGGATGGAAAAGAGCCTGAAGAGGTGAGCCATCTTTTACTAAAGAAATGTGAATTTTAAGCAAAGATTTCTAACATGGAATGATTTCAACCAGACAAAATAATAAAAGCCTATACTTGAAAACCTCAAACTGTGAAAGTTTTAGCCATCATAGAATTAACAGGATAAAGTAACGTCACTATTTGTAAATTGTCTTTGTGTTTATGTAGATGTTATTAGGTATAGGAAGCCCTTGATGCTTCCAGAAAATATTGTAAAGTGGCCAGTAGAAATCTTTTCAATGTGACACAGTAGAAATTTATGATGAAGGTGACCTTTCAAAAATCTCTTTTGGCCTGAAACAAAAAAGAACATTGTTCATCAGCAATGCAGATTTGAAATTTGCATCTGATTTTGAATAATATTTTTCTTATTTTTCCAGATTTGTTTATCTGGCTGAGAATTTAAATTAATAGGACAAGATAATATCCAATGGGCCTTATGAGTAAAAGTCATGATAATACAAAAATGTGAAATATCTTTCAGTTTAATGTATTTAACACAGAGGTTAGGAATGAAATGTAAAAGAAGAAAATGTGTTGCCAATCTTTGAGCATAGCAAGTGAAATTTGCTGGGACGTACTGGGTTGTGACCCCCTCCCCAGTCAGGCATGGTATCTGATGAAGTCTTAGGACATTTTCACAGTTTTTCCAATATCATAAGCATTATTATACCAATGTTTTCTTTACTAAAGTCAGATTAGACCAAAGATGGAGTATTGTTGTCATATTTGGGCTGGAGCTGCTGAGTCCTCATTTTTCAGCCTTGACAGAGTTCAAAATTGTTTACTCAGCCTTGTGGAGGAATATTTGTTCTCTACTCTTCTGCTTCTTTCAGACAGATGCAATGTCACAAGCTTATCATTACTTTGTTGCTATTTCCATGGCAAATATGAAAATGAACTCTATTCAGTTCAGACCTTTACATCTAGCACAGGCCATGCCACTTCCACAGAGTTGAATCACTCTTATTTCCTCTGTATTCTAAATGTAAGAACAAAGTTTAACTCTCAAAAATTGATATTTTGTAAAATGAACAAATGTTCAGATGAGTTCCATTCTTTAGTTCCACTACTTCAGACGATGCCACTTCCACAGAATTGAATCACCCTTCCACTGTATTCCAAATGTAAGGAGAAAGTTCCACTCAAACAAATTTTCACTACTTTTTTTGACCAGATTCTTGCATGAGTGGTCTCGTGAACATAGTAATTAACCTCTGAATATCTAAAGTCAATTGTTATCTATCCTACTCATCCTCATAATCTTCACTTCCTATCACCTCCTCTTTCATTCATATTACATGCACCTCATTCATTAACAATGGCTCTCGAGCCTTGTATTAGGTGAATTATTGTATTAAAAAAATCCATTTTATTAACAGATAGGATAGATTTCCAAAGAGTAAACTGGAAATGTATTCTGTTTTGAAATCAATTCAAATAACAGATGTAACTTTAATTATAGTATTCACAAATAATTAATGAAATAATAAGATATTATGGTTACCTATTCAAATATAGAAACTCACTGTTGCTTGGTACCTCAACAGGATTTGATGTTGTTTAACCAACAGATTGCACTTTCAAGTATAAATTTAAAAAAATAACTTTGTATCACTGCTGAAGTGTTTGTTACTCTGAAAATAGTATTGGCTGAGTTAATTCATTTGAAAGTGGACTCATTTTTAACTTTAGTACAATGAACTAATCTTAATCATGCAACAGTGAAATTATGAGACCTAGTTGCCAATCTAGTACTGCCCTTAAAGTTGAGGTACCAAAGAAAAAAACCTCATCAGAACAATTACCATGAAAATATTTATAGAAAAGCACAGGGAAGTGACTGAAACTGAGATGCCAGGTCAGGACCAATACCATTGCAGATTATTCTTTGGATTTTGTCAAGAATTGCTAGAGATATAGCAGAAGCACCAGACCAGAAGTGGCTGCAATATTCATGCATGGACAGATGATAAATCTATAAATGTCCAAAAGTAAAGGAGATCCTTAGTTATGTGAATTAATGGTCACCTTACATCACTATATCATTGGTAACAAGTCAGTGGGTTATGCTGCAGAGGGGTTGTCATAAACAGGCTCCAGCAGCTGTGGGCAAAGAAGTATGAGATGCAGGTGAATCAGAATATAATAGAGTGACCATAGAGAGGAGGAGGAGGAGAAGCATTTGACTAAAAGCCACTTGAGAGGGGAGAGATTGTTGGAGACAGTTTTGCCGAGGCTATCAAAGAAAATATACATGCTTGATATGATGAAGGCACAATGAGAACAGAACATAGCAGCAGTGATAAGAACAATCGACCAAATTAAAATCCTCAACCTTCAAAGAATGGGAAAACATGTAAAAAGACATAGGAAGACATGACGTAGATGCTGTCAGGCCAAATAGTAATAAAAAACAGAAGTTTCTTTCTTGTAAACACAAACTAGCCAACACAAACTACTGTTGTTTTTTTCTCAATATTGTAACTGCTGCCAAGAATTAGAGAAAGAAAAATCATAGTTTCAAACAACCATGTATTCAACAGTTAGAACAAACTTTATTTTATTAATATCTTAAAGATATTCTGCTCTTTGTCATTATTCCAAGACTTCAATTTCAGGAATCTGTCAACATTTTTTTTTTCTAACATGTGGTTTGGTTTGTGTTTGCAATATTTCAGTTCTGATATTGGGACAACTTCTAAACACAATGTGAGTGGAGAAGTTTTGAATCCATGACATCACCAAATCACTGACTAAAGCATAAGCCTGTCTATTACATGTTATGTTACAAGTGTGACTCAGTGAATAATAAGATTATTGTGATATATAAATGTGTGTATAATTATTCTCTCTTAACTTTGACAAGATTGTTGCTAACATGTAAATCAGTAAGGCTTTGTAAGCAGTTGAATATGTTTGTGTATTAATGTGTGTGCACATACACAGCAGTAATTCTGTTGCTTATAGGTGTTATTAGCATATTACTTTTTTTTATTAGTGTAATAAGCTTCTGCGTTATTGGAATGTGATCACATTTTAGAAGCATTGTTAAGATTAACACAGTGGAGGAAGTACATTTGAATTATTCCTTGAAGACTGTCTCCCAACTTGAGCTGCATGTTTACAAGTTGAAATTTGTCAGAAACATAGTCTATTGAGAATACTGCAAAAATTCTTTTTATTTTTGCAATGACAGCAGCAATATATGTTTGGTGATAATAAATATTACTTTAAAACATAAATATCCAAACTGAGTTAATGAATTTATATATATATATATGTATGTATGTGTGTGTGTGTGTGTATACATGGTAAAGTCATCAGATTAGGAACATGGTGTATAAGTTCAAGAAAATATTGAAGAGATATATGGAAAAGTATGTTGAGTGAAAATTTATGTCCAGGCTGATTATTCAAGGAAGGTGAATGAAATGGAGACTAGCAGATATGAAAAATGAGGAGAGGCAGTTATGAAATTTTACAAGAAAACATTGACAAATATTGAGAATAATAAACCAAGATGGACAATTGTTACCTCTATTTTGAAATAGCCAACATTTATTACAGTTAAAGATCATAAAGTCAACTTAAAAATTACTATACCACTAAATTCATGAACCAATACTTTAATTTTTATAGGCTATTGTCCCATGGGAACAATCTATTCCTGTAGATTAAATAAAGGTTGCAGTTCAAAATTCCCTGAAGGTTATTTTTGAAGACAATTGAATGTACCACAACCTACAGAAGTTATAAATCCTGGAGCTTGGTCAATAAAAACAGAAAGACAGATAACAAAATTTGACATTTAATGAATGACATTATTTTTTGCCTGTCTCCATATTAATGATTGGCTGATTGAAGAGAATTATTTACATATCAGTTTTCTTCAAATATCAGCATAAGTTTATGGTTATGGAACTTATTGTTTTAACACTTGATGATTGCATATCTGCGTGAAACTTTTAGCACCAGTTTTATTATGTCTGTTGTATTTTACTATGTGCAAGAGAGAAAGATGTAAGGAAGGAAATAAAATTGGTTTATTGTGATTTTGATGAGTTCTGTGCAAGTAGAAAGTAAGGTAGAGAAATGAGTGTTTTTCTGAGAGTAGGCAACTCAATATAATGAAAGTGAGTCCCATGACTTTCTGGTTTTGTTCAGATTTGAATCTAAATTCTCACCCACTCCCACCAAACTCTTACACATGTCTATTAGTGAATGAGAAAAACTAAGGTGATAAATTGTTTCTGTCTGATGTAGATAAAAAACATAAAATGAAAATATACATTGTATCAAAAGCCACAAGAGCCTGAAATTGTTTTAATCCTCACAGACCACATTTTTATTTCATTCTGGCAACTGTTTGAATTAATGATTAAAGTTTACCAATATCTTCTTATCTCCAGTTTCTTTTGAAGGAAAATGGTTTCATATATTTCATTGCAGCTTTGTTTTTAACTGCTTTGTTTTTACATTTGTACCTGGTAACACTGGGTGACAAGATTTTGGAACTGAAAATTATCCCTTGGGGACAGGAATTCTTCCATTCATTTATTCAGCAAATATTTATATCTACAGAACTGTCTGAAAAAATAGTATTTATAAACTATAATAGTACTTAAAAATTAATATGTTGCAACCATGCATTGCTACTGCTAATATGTTCACAGCTTTTTTAATACCAGGTTCAAGAATTATCTATCCTCATTATCTTCACTTCCTATGACCTCCTCATTCATATCTCACATCTCATTACCATTTTAACAATAACCTTTTATTTTAATATTTAAAAAAAAAAATCAGTAATTTTTAACTTGTCCATGCACACAGATTAAGAAATGAATATTTAATTTGAAAGTGCTTAAGAACATTTGTGCATTTCTAAAACTATGCTTTAAAGTAATCAATATTTGATTGATGGTTGATTATTATTTGTTGTTAATAATTTAATCATTCCATTTCCAAATTCATATAGTCTAATCTTGTATTTAAAAAATAATTTCTTAAAGTTCTCCTGTGGTTCTAATTGATGTCATTGTTTACATGTTTTTCTTCTTACTCAGATTTTCTTAGAGTCAGTATGTATGTTAATATATGGCAATACGACAAGTAAACAGATGACATTATTTAATAAAAATATCCTCTTTGACAATTACTGTATTTATGACTGAAGCCAAATAATTACCAAAATATTGTGCTCTGAGAGTGTTGAAATTTTCAGATTTTGAAAAGAATGATGGTATTGATGGTTGATCTGGGCTGGCATTATATAACATTGATATTCAACTATGAACCTTATGATCATACCATTCACCTATAAAGGAATGGAAACAACTGTGTATCATTCAAATCAACCTTGGTGTTTTCTTGTGATAGGGAATTTTTTTTAAAAATTCAAATGTAGCAGTTTTTTTGAAACCATCTCCAAAAGAAAAGTATATCTTAAACCAGCTAACATTCAGAGAAATTCTTGGGCATTTAAGGTGGTGGCCAGACTGATTGAATTTTGGTAAACTTATCTCTTCAGATTTATTCAATTTTCAAATGCCAAATGTTTGAGTTATCAGTTCAGTAAAATACATATTTATTTTGCAAGAGAGACTTCTGACAATATCTTTTTGCAAAAACATGACACTCTGCAATAGACTCTAAAATAGCCTATCAACAAAAAAAAAAGTTATTAAGTAACTTTCATATCTAACATGGACTGTATTTAACATTTTTGATTAGGAAAGGAAAATATGCAAAAGCTGTCTAGAAGAGACTTATGAAAGATCTGACCAAACAATGGTCAAAATATGAAAAAGCTGTCTCCAAGAGATCAGCTTCATATCTTGAATATTTTGGTCAGGTCTTGCATAATAAGATGAGTTTTGATATCTGAGAGAGCAAGATTTTCAAAAAATAGCAAATCCCAAAAAGTTTTATTTTCAAAAAAATGTTGGATAAAGTCTAAATTTAAAGAAATAGGAATCTTTTATAAAATAAATATAAAATATAAAAATGATGAAATATAATTATAAATAAAATAAAATCTAAAATAATTCAGCTTCAGTCACTTTCCCACTGCCACTTTCCATTTTTCTACTTGCCCATTGCCTCCCTGTGCCTTTTCTATAAATACTTTCATGCTAATTGTTCAGATGAGTACTTTGCTATGGTACCTAGACTTTTTGAATTTAAGTGCAGTACTAAACTGGCATCAAGATCTCATCAGTTTACAATTAAACTGGCTAGATGTCACTGTTATTTCTATGCTAACAGTTTATTTTCTCACCTGTGGAATTACCTTTCAGCTCCATGTTTTCCAGCCAACTTTATTGTGCAAAAATTTAAATGCAATGTCAATCGCTGTCTACTGTCCGCCTGTTTACTCTTTCCTCTTTCTGCTCATTATTAATGAATGTTTCTGTTTCTAATTTTTCCACACCCTGTAACCACCCTTGTGTCTCAGTGCTTTTACTGCCTTGCATGGAGTGAACCAATTTAAAAAAAAAAAAAAATCTATTTTTCTGTGTGTTGAATATGCTGTCAATCAAAATGTTTTTGTTTGGAGTTATTTTACACAAGTTCAAATGTGCTGTAACTTTGGATATCCTATTTCAAAATATTCTATTTCATCAGCATTAATAACCAATAACCATTTTAATACTGTGTGGATCAGGTACAGGAATAATAGATATCTCTTTCTTAAATTTTTAACTTCATTGTTTAGAGATGTTGATTTAAAAAAAAAACAAGTACAGTGGCACCTTGATTTATGAATTTAATCCGTTTCAGGTGTGAATTCATAAGTGGAAATTTCATATATCGAAACAATTTTCCCCATTTAAAATAATAGAAATTCATTCATTCATTCCAAGCCCCAAAAGTATTGATATAAAGATTGTATTTTATGCAAAATTAAAGTAATTTTTTTTAAAGATTATACACAAATAATGTAAATAAATATATCATTGTGATTCCTTCCCAGGCTTTATCAATGAGATTTAAGCAATTTAGTACATTGAAGTGATCCTTCCAAAATTCTCTTAGGGCCAGGTCTGTATTTTCAGTCACTTCAAAACACGTCTGAAACAAGGCAACTTTATCAGAGCTTTCAACCTCTCCTTGCCTCTCTACAATGTGGATGCCAGTTCTCTTTTTAAATTTTTCAAACCATACTTGGTTTGCCTTAAATACATTTTCATCTTCAGAAGATGTGCCTGGAATTTTTCTAAGATCCATATACAGTGCCTTTGCCTTATGTAATATCATCAGATGCAGAATCACCTTGTAGCTACCTCACATTCATCCACGCCAGCAACAGCTTGTAGCTACCTCACATTCATCCACGCCAGCAACAGCTTTTCAAAATCTTCTAGGTCTTTTGGACGATGCTTGGTAATTATTCTAACTCCCTAACTTTTTTTTTATTTCTATCTTTAGGATAGTGCAAAATTTTGTTTCTGAATATTCATATAGATTGGCAAGGTAAGAAAAACGGGTACCTTCTTCATGCTTCTGAATGACCTCCTTTCTCATTTGCACAGATATTTTTTTCCTTCTTCTTAGTAGCAACCAGCTTCTTGGGTGACATCATGAGTTACAAAAATTATCAACAAATTAGCAACTAAAATTTATTGTACATCTACAGTAATATTTACAAAAACAAATTAAATTGCAGAGTACAGTAAATGTATGGAAAAATATAAAGGAACAAACTGCAGTGATGACATGTACCATACAAATGAAACTGGAATTAGATGTCTAATTTATTTTACTGCGTAGTCTGTGCTGTACCTACATTTTATACATTTTATTTTACTCTAATTAAACTTTATAATTTTTTTATATTTTTCTATTGTACTGTATTGATATCAATTTAAAATTCAATGATTATACACTATATATTAGACTAAAACACAATTTACATACAAATTAAACAAAACGAACTTAGTATTATCACAATTTACCTACTTTTAACTCAATAAATTTTAATAAAATTTACATCTTACTGTACAGTAATATACATGTACTGTTTTCATTACTGTACATGCATTTTGGCATATTATTATTATTATTTTTATATTTACACTAATATAATCACAAATATGCGTACAATACTAAAGTTTATTCTATAAGGTAACAAAGAGGACTGAGCAGGATGATGCAATGCTTATGGCATCACAAAACATCTAGTGTGATGGAACTGTATAGAAATATGTACTGTATATAAAATATAATAATGTACAATGTATATAAAGCAAAAATATAAAAAAGTATTGTAATACTGTATACTACTACAATATTATATTATTATATCTAATAATATAATATATAAGACATAAAAATATGAAATACAATATATTTAGATAAGATTAAAAAGGATTGAAGTTACATTTATATCAAATATCTAGTACGAAATGCAGGGGCAAGATGCCCATTGTTAATTTCGTAAGTCGAAATTAATTCGTAAGTGGAAACAAATTTTCTGACAAATTTTTGTTTGTATGGTGAGTTTTTCATAAGTGGAGGTGTTCATAAGTCAAAGTTCGACTGTATTCTCAAAGGATCATGCCTAATGTGTTATTGAATTAAATGCATTGTTTATCTCATTAGAATAGTTTAAATTACTTCATTCATTATCCCAATGGTAGAAACTATGAGTTATTTATAGAAATAGAGTATTTTATGGGTAATTTATATTATTTTTATGATAGAAAAAAAAAGGAACTGTTTACAATTTAATATAGTGGTTTATCAAGTTACAAACACACATGGCAATATTCCTACCGCAAAAAATACTCTTCTTTTTCAATCTTTTCTACTTGGTTCTTTTAATATTAATCTATATAAAGTTATTGGCTAAATACAGCTTGTAACAATGTATTTCAATTTGTCAAAAAGAACCTTATTTTATAGTCGGTGAAGTAAGTAGATATTCTTTTTATTCTAATGGAATCATTAATCATTTCACAAGTTAGATGATCTGAAGTCAGTGTTTAGGAAGAAATTAAAAATATTGTATTATGCACCTGGCAGGCAAGTAAATACAGATATTCTTTGTTCAGAAAAAAGAGATGGGTGATAAATATATGTCTTCAAGGAAGATGGCTCAATAGATTCAAGCTTCATTTTTAATATAACGCTTTTGTGATAACTGCTTAATTTTGTTTTTATGTTTCCTAGGTGTGCAAGTTACTCCGTCATATTGCCAACACTGGACCTCTCATTATTACAGCTGAACATAATGAATCTGTCATTCGTACCACTTGTCCATTGGTAAGTAAAAAATTAAAAAAATTGAAATTTGTCTTAAAATATTCTGCAGTCCAGAGTTCTAAAAGTTTGTCATTGAAAAAATCAAAATATAAATTAAAAATGCAGCAAAAAAATTCGTTCAGAATTTATAGACAAATGCCAAAAATTGAAAATTACAACTTTAGTATATTGTTTTAATTTTAGTGGCATAAAAGCATTAATGGCCAAACAATACAATGAAGAAAATATTTTGAAACCAAAGACAATGTTGGTAAATGCTACTGGAATCGTTTTCCAAGGAAAATGAATCTATCTTCTTCCAGCAATAGGTTAAATAGTAGTATAGACTGGAATATCTTGCCCTGGTAGGTACCAGTCTAAGAGAAGAACAAATTTGAATTTCAAAACCAGCATAAAGATATACACTATCAAGTTATCTTGGCCTAGACACACCCATTACACATAACTGCAACATTCATGGTGCCTTTCTGACCATAATGGGTTATAGGACTCGTGAAACTGTATTAAGCTAACAATTGTATTGAATAGATGAAAATTTATTTACATAATAAAAATATAATACAACAAGATTATTATTCTGAAGCCTGTTTTACTATCAGAATCTTGATTGTAAATCCTTCATCTTCATTTATTAATATTTTTACTAGTAATGATTATTATCAGTTATTAATTATCTTCAACTTTCAAAGGATTCTTCTCCATTGTTATAAAGTAATCAATTTATTTTGCTTTTTATTTTTATTTAATTTTTTTTTCTTTTTTTAATTAGTTTATTCACTTCTTTCTTTTATTTAATTTTTTTTTAAAGATTTTGTATGCTGCACAAACCCTAGCTCAATATCCAAGCAGTCGAATAGCAGAAGGGAACCTGGATGTATTTTCCAAAACCTGGGAAGCACAAATCAACGAACTCTCTATTTTAGTGAAAGAAGTCAATGATGTATGCCAAGGCAAAATGGAAAAACAAGTATATTTGTCTTTGCCTCGACCAGGGGTGAGTAGCACTTTGTCCTTGAATTTCAATTTTTGTGAAAAGTTTCAAGAAAGTTACCATTTTCATATATATATATATATATATATATATATATATATATATATATATATTCACACATATGGTGAAAACAAACACATGCAAGTTTTAAAAGCATTATAATGCAAATGATTGTGAAAGCAACATATATTTTGAAACAAATGAGTATGAAATGAGATTTATGAAATTATAACAAATTTTGAATTGTTCTGCCATTTTGTTGTATGACCAAAGTTGCACGTTTGATCAAATTGTTAACAGTTGCTATCCATAACTTGAGGTGTGTGTTCAGCTTCTAAGGAATGTCTCCACCTTGAAAGAATATCATGCAATATCTTTATGTATTCAATCTTTTCTATCGGACAAGTAATTGTTGATAGAGCAAAAGAATCCTGTTTTAAATTGTTCCTTGATATATAAGCTCTCATCATTGCTGCTGCATTTTCATGATTAGCATAATATAGATTCACAAGCTCCAATCAACAGTCTAAACTAAACTTTGACACATTTTCCAGAAAATGATTTGTCAAAATAAACCCCAGCTTATATACTTCTTATGTGTTACAAATAAATAACATCTTTACCTGATTGGTCAATTTAAAAAAAAACATTAAAACTTGTGCACATTTATTTTTCCCCGTGTGTCTGTGTGTGTGTATATATATATATATATATATATATATATATATATATATAGGAAAAAGACTAAATTATTCATCATATAATCAGTTATAAATTTATTTCAATATATATATATATATATATATATATATATATATATATATATATATATACCCTCATTAGACTAACAACATTTTATTAAATGATATAAACTCAGCCATCCAATTTGATAATAAACCATACATTTAAAAAACATAAATAAAAAAAATCAAGAGAAAAAAATGAAATAGTGATTTTAACTTGACCTTAAAAAAAAATTTGCTGGGATTTATACTAATGAAGAAAGTAGTGTGGGAAGAAAAAAGAAGTTTCTATATAAGAGTAAGGGAAGGTAGGGGAAGATTTTATGGGTAAACCTTTAACCACAACCATAGATTCCATTTCTGTGAATTTTATTTATGTTGTTATTCATTTAAACATCACTTTTATCATAATAATAATAATAAATATATAATATTTTTAAAAAAATAAAGTTGAAAAAAAAAATAATAATAATAAAAGTAATAAAAATTCCCTGTAATGTAAGCATATCCATGACATTTAGATAAATGATTAAATATATCTATAAACACACAAACATATATATAAATATACACACATATGTGTGTGTTTAAAATTTTCTACATTTATTGTAGAAGTGTGTTCAATATCAGAGATAGATGTAGACACAGTATAAATCGACACTGCAGTGTGCAGACTGTCTGTTTTATGTCTCAAGTGGTATGAAGATTGATTGTCATGATGTGAAAATGACAATCACTATGCAGTGTTGATTTTTGCCCACACTCTATATATTATGTTTTTTTTCACTTTGATAACAGGTTTGTAACACATCTGGACCGGTCTTTATTTATTTATTTTTTTATTTTTTTTTTTTTTTTTTTTTTTGTAATAATTTTTTTTGGTTGTTAAATAAAATGTGGTTGGAAATCTTATTCAGTTATTAAGAGTTTATATTGCTCATTCTATCAAATGTGCTCGTGTGCATGTATAATGAGGATCAGAGTTGACAAAAAGTAACATCTGTGGTCCACTCATTTCACTTGGTCACAGTTATTATTTTATTAATGAGAAGGAAAGGGGCATTTGGTTTTCTTAACTGTGATTTTCATTCTTATTTTATACATTTTACCATCAGATTTTCTTCAAATGAAACTAAGCTAATTTTATTTTTTTTTTTATTAGTCACCCTGATTCTGTCTCTGAACATTTAAACCAATGCTTGTTACTTAAAAGAAGAACTTCTGAAACGCTAGGTTTACCTGCACCTATTTGGTTGAATAATTCCATGGATTTTGAACTTCCATTTCTTTAAAAGAAACAACCATCTTTTTATTTTTTTCATCAATTCCAACATTTTGTACTTTCCATTTTATAATATTCATTTTTATTGATACACTTTTTCTTATCTCTTGCTGGCAAACACAATTCTTATTCACTTTTCAGACCTATGTCTCAGTCTTTTTTATTTCTTTGTAAAATTTATTTTTATGAGAAACTTTGAAATAATTTTTTAATTTTTATTTCCTGCTAATTTGCAGACTTACTCCTTTGAAATGAAACTTAGGAACCAACACCATAAAGAAAAGTATTCTATTTATCATTATGTAGATTCCTCACTTATTGTGTGTTAGTTGTTAATTAGATTAGTCTGTAATATGAACATAAGAAATGTCTTGTTTGTACTTTTCAATTTTATAACTTTAACATATAAACTTTTTACAGAGTGTACAGTATATATTTTGCATGAAAGAATTAATATTAACAAAACCAACTATATATCTTCTGTATAATCAGTATTTAATCACTAAACAAGTATATTTTTAATTACTTTATTTTATTCCCAAATTGTCTGAAGGACAAAGTTATGATGTACAGTTCTGTCTGTATTTTTAAAACATTGTTACATATCATCATGGCTTCAAATGCTCAAAAGCAAGAAAAAACAAAGTTGGTTGCATATGAAATATAATTTTATTCAAGGCTGTCATCATATATCTTTGAACAACTATAAACAATGAAAAAAAAATGCTTAGGATGTACAGTCATATTCAACTTAAAGGATAGTGATCAACCAGGAAATTAAATCCTATCCTATCATTACTACCAACCTCTCTGAGTCTTGATTCCATTTAAAGCCATAAGGCTTCTTCTGGCTGATGCACATTTTTCTGTAATAATCACTCATTTCCTCTTGTGAAGAATTGTATTCCAAATATCTTCACCATTTTTGAATAATTGAATGACAAGCTTTTATTTATTGAAAATGATTACTGTAGCAACTGCATATCATCACTCCTATAGGCTGAATGGTTTTAAAAAAAAGGATGCTGGGATTGGTCTGCCAGACAGCTTGATTTTGTGTTGCTCTGTTGGAGAAAGAATTACTGTCTATTGAAATAAGCATTAATATTAAGAATTAAGCTCTTTATGTAAAACCAGCTTAATTCTTAATATTTCTGCTTCTGACAATTATGTAATTCCCATTGCTTAGAGGAGTCATATAGTATTTTTAACATTGTATATTTTATATAAATTGATATTTTAATACCTTAGTCTAATAATTTTTAGTTACTACCAATAGCATGAAATAGTACAGTTGATAGTGGCTCAGAATGGAATTAGCATGCCGATTATGATGTCAAATGATAGTGACTTATAATATTAATACTCCAGTGAAAAGAATGATTCCAACAATTCTTATATTCTGTTGCATTGCTAGTCATCTTGATAAAAGAAATGATATTGGCAAAATACAATGGTTGATGATAGTGATGTTATAAAAGTCTCAAATCAATTTATAAGCTTCAACATCATCTATTTAACCACTTAGGATAGTTGGTTACTTGAGATAAAGGGTAAAGAGAGGTTTCTCTTGACATAGTATGTCAGTTTGCTCCAAATTGTTAACTTACCTGAAAATGAGTAACTGAAGGACTTAAGAATAGTAGTAATTTATTTTACTATGTAAGAATCTTTTCTCCATCATATGACATGCTTTCACACCCATTTGTGTTAGATGTCTGCTTTAAACCCACACTAGAGCTAGATGCCTTCTCTAACACTTTCTTCCTATTACTGTCATAACTCATACTTGTAGCATTCTGAAATCTTGATCTTTGAAGAACATGGCAAATTATTTATATAAGTGTCTAATATTCTATTTTCCCCCATAGACCTGTGAATAATAAACTGCAAATCCAAAAAATATATTTGATATTTAGTCTACATTAATTATATGTTAGCATTGTCTCTGGAAATTTCCATGATACATCTTGACAGTTTAGAAAAATGAGTTAAACTGGTTTATATTTTTGACACTTTGAATATAGTTATCTATTTAAAAAGAAAAAAAAAAAATTAAAATTTATCAAAATGTATCTCCAAATAGTAAGCTTTTTCTAATTATGTAGATTTTGTTCAAAATCCTTTTAGCATTCCATTCATAACAAATTTAAAGTGATGAGTTTGCACAACTATATCTTAATTTTGTTTCCACTAGGGCATTTTTTTAAAATTCCAAATATAGTTTTGTCTTAAAATTTAAAGTTTCCTGAGCTGAAGGAAGAAAGTTATCTTGTGTTATTGTTTACTCTGATGAGGCTAATCGTTATTAAACTTGGTGGGTAAGGAAAATGTTATAAACAGAAGATAAAAAAAAACAAAGAATAAGGAGAAAAGATCAGCTGCATTAAATAAAATTCATTGTTTTCATATTATATCTTTAAAATTTTCTGAATATTTTAAAAGGTTTTTCATTTAAAAAAAAAAATTATTTTGCAGAAACATGGTACAATGGTGAAATCTTTGCGTCCCGTGAAACTTGATGCTGAAGTAAGTGAACACTTATTAGTATAATAATAGTATTAGTATATTTTAATATAATTTATTAGTATAGATGTAAAGGTACAAATTCTTTGATGTACACATTACTAAACTTCCTTTATTTTATTTATCTGTGAAAGATCATGAGGAGACAGGAATGAAATAATTAACACATAATAAAAAGCCATAAATATACAAATATCATCAAGGCTATCATACAAAAAAGGAAAATAAAAGAATAAAAAAAATTTGATTAGTTACATACATTCCTAATAAAAATTAAAAATTGTCATCAAAATGTTTTACATTCTGTTGATTAATTTTTTCAGTATCTGTCTATATTTCTGAGATGAGTTATTATGTACACTATTTACATTATTCGGACTATTGTCCTCATCATTGTTGCCATATTTATTACAGCGTTTCGGCTGTAGTATACTCCGGCTTTCTTCAGGTGGTTGGAATGTCAAACTGAACCCTTTATTCTCTCACTGGGAATTTCAGTTATAAGTTACCAGTGCTCATATTATAATTTTTGCTGTTATTATTTCATGTTTTTACCAGAGCTCGTATTGCAATTTTTGTCTTTATCACTTTTCTCTGGCACTCCTTATTACTGGTTTCCATATTGTATTCATTTCTATGCTTGGTCGGCTCAGGAGATTTTTTGTGGCCAGCATATGTGCTGATTCCTTAAGTTTATTTAATTTTCCAATGATGTTCTTTGTCTATGATCTCAACCTGATCCCACAGAGGGCAGTGATCTCCCTTTTCTCTCCATATGTGGTCAGCCACGCCTGATTTTTCCACTTCCCTCGTTTTTCCACAACTGCTTTCCTATTGTGGTGTTCTTGAAGCCTTCATCCCTTTTAAGATGGGACAGTAGATCCTTTGTATTTTGTCTCCTTTTATATTTCTTTCCATCCAACTGCATGGAATAGCGTGTAGGTACTACTTATACTGACCAATTCTTTATCTAACACAGCCTCGGTATTTAGTCATGTTCTCTTTATTGTGGTGGTGGGTCTTGTGAATGTCAGTTTAATATAGAGAGATATCTGAGAAGTGTCATCCAGCTTTTGAAGGTTTTCATGGTAGTAGAACCTGATGCTTATATGGACCATAGAGTTCCTTTGTATTTTGTCTGAAAACCCTTTCACATAAGGCAGGCAGACCATTTTCTGAGTGTTTTTGTACTCCTCCTTGATTACCCGCCTCGATCCCAGTTTTGGGGGCTGCTGCTATGAACAAACCCAAGGATAGTTGTTATGTTGTAGGGTACTACATTAAGGGGGAGACCAATTCTTTATCTAATCTCTCTGGGTTGCCACTTGAGCAGAATGACTTTTTGCTCGGATAACTGTTATATGTTTTGTGATACTTGGTCTTGATCGATTCCTTTCTTTATGCTGTATGGATAGTGAGGAGTTGAAATTGAGGTACTTTCTGGTGAATGTCAGGGTTTTACGATATACGGATGTCTTGTACCCATGCTCTGTTCAGGAGATATTAGAACATCCAGGAATGAAAGTCTACCCCAGGAGTGTGTTGACATTACCTTTCTTTCTCCATAAATGTGAACTGTATCAAGGTAATTTTTTATTGATTTTTTCACATGGTCCATGTAGAAAATGTCCAAAGAACCTGAACATCTTCCTGAATGTATGGTGTGGCCAGAGTATGAAGGTGTCATCTACGCATTACCTTTTTTTTTGCATGTGAAAGCCATATAGTTGTAGGTTTTTAGAGATATAGATTCTAATGCCATTTCCTCAAAGTATTCCATGTATATATTCGTCATTGCTGGTGATAATGGTGAGGCCATTGCTAAGCCCTCATCCTGTTGATATATGTGTGGTCCCATTCCAAAGTGTGTTGTTTGTGTACAGAAAGTCAACATCTCCATAGATTATCTCTTGGAATACTGGTCCGTTCTTCTAGGGATGAGTCAGAGGCCAATCTTTCTCTGACTACTGAGACTGCCTCCTCCGTGGGTACCTTGGTGAACAAACTCACCACGTCCAAGCTCACCATCTAGTTGGATAGAATGGGAGCATCTTTGATTATTTCCACTAAGTGGGCAGAGTTTCAGACATATGAAGGAGAGTTTCCAATCAATGGGTCAATTATATCTACAAGGAAGCAATTCAGGGGGTGGCACATGGAGCATTGGCAACTAACAATCGACCTGAGCAGAATGCCGTCTTTGTGAATCTTAGGGAGACCATATATGTGAGGTAGCTTGGTGTAACGCTGTGATAACTGTCTATATGTTTTAGGTGTGAAGTGATACTTGGTCTTGATTAGTATCTGTGACATTTTGTGCTCTGTTTTCATTGTAGGATCCTTTTTTACTTTGCTGTAGCTACCATTGCTAATGAGGTCTTCCAGCTTTCTTGTATAATCTGATTTGTCCATCACTACAGTTGCATTGTCTTAGCCAGTGGTATGATTATGTTTTCGTTCCTCTGTAGGGACCCAATCGCCAGCCTCTCCAATTTCGTGATGTTTGACCTGGGCGGCTTGGCCTTCTTCAAGGTCTGTCTCACCTTCCATCCCAGTTCATCCACAGGAGATAACTGATAACTGACATCTATTATACATGGCACGTGGAACTAGAACAGTCTACCCCAGTGAGAAAAATAAAGGGTTCAGTTTGACATTCCAACCACCTGAAGAACGCCGGAGTGTACAAAAGCCGAATATTGTAATAAATATGGTGACAAAGATGAGGACAATAGTCTGAATAATGTAAATAGTGTACATAATACCTCATCTCAAAAATATAGACAGATACTTAATTTTTCTTGTGTTATATTTTTTCTTTTCTGGACATAAATTATGTAGAAAATGTCCAAATGTTCTGTATGTCCAAGCACTTTCAGCTATACTTTTAGCCATTATCAAAGACGATTTTATTTTTATTTTTACTTTTAAATGAATGTATGGATTTTTTGATGTATGTATCTAAAGTTATAGGAATATTTTATTGTGACCATGTTCATATTTGATGTTGTTGAGTGTTGGCTTTTGTTTTTATTAATAATACTTCCATTATTTTTAGACTTTTTTTTTTGCATGTGAATGAGCCTATTATATTTGTATTGTCAAAAAGTATGTTGCATATGGTCTTTGGTAGGTCTCCATATGTACTTAAATGAAACCTAATTGAGCTATGGTCAGAGAAATGTAATGTAAATCTTCTTGTTAGGCATGTTGTAGTATATCTAATATAATTATGAATTTGGTTTGAGATATATATATATGTGTGTGTTTTATTTTGATCTTGTTAACCTGATGATTTGAAAATCCTTGTAATTTAATTTTAATTTACAAGGTGAAATGATCATCATCACTATTATGGAGTAATCCTAATTCCTATTGTTTATACTTTATCTGCCCTGTTTGAATAAAACATTGAGCTCGCTCTGTGAATCAGTTTTAATATTTTATCTTATATTAATAGGATTCAGTTGAATTATATATCAACTGGATTTCCTATATATATATATATATATATATATATATATATACACACACACACACACACACACACACTATGTATTTAGGCAGCAAATATTCTTTAACACAGATACTATTAAAGATAACAGACATTTTGTGTTTATTAATTTTAATGATCAACTTTTACAAGTTACAAATAATCCTTTTCAGACGAGGAGGAAATTCCATTAGAAATTGTCCAATGTTCATTTTGGAAGTGCAATAAATATGGTCCAAGTTTTCGACTTTGTCATCACCAGGGACAATTGATGAGTTTTGTAGAGCTATTGAGTGCTATGATGAAAGCAAAGAGTGTTTTGACATAAGTGAGGTATAACTTAAAAGCCCACATCCTTAAATGTATATTAAAAAAAAAAAGACACCTCACTTATGACACAATACTCTTTGCCTATGTCACAACACTTAATAGTTTTTTTCTCCCTCTTTGTAATTATTTCATGGTAGCAGAGCCTGGTTGAAAAAAATAAAATGAATACAGGTTACAAAAATCTACCCAAATTCAATGATGTTTGGAAAAGAGAAGTAAAAATAGATTGTAACAAATGTATGCAAGTCTTCCAATGTCATCAAAATTTAATGAACTCGTAGCAATGGACCTGAAATTCTTTGAAGGGAACATAATTCTAAATATGATAGACAACTTGTCAAGATTTTCCACCGCTGTAATTTTTGGCCCATCAAAGAAGTTTTCGACAGATAACTGCGGCATTTGCCAATTCAAAATTTTTAGAATTGGCAGAGACAATGAACATCAGACTCTTGAATACTGCAGTATAATCACCCTGGAGTAATGGGCTAGTGGAATGACATAATGCAACATTGTCAGAGATGCTCTACAAACACACAAGTTCTGTCTATATCTCTGAGATGAGGTATTATGATTATTTGCATTATTTACATTACTCGGACTTCAAGTGATTGGAATTTTGAACCGAACCCTTTATTTCGGCCACCAGGGTAGATTGTTCTAGTTCTACATGCCATTCCTCTTCTGAATGTCTTAGTTATTTCCCTTCAACTATCCAAGTTTTGGTTTACCACTGCTGTGGTCTGGTACTGAACTCACAACTCTTTGGATCTAGTCACTGGATCTAACCAATGTCTTTATCCACTGGGCCACATGTCCTTGAGGGTTTAGTTTGAAATTCCAATCACCTGAAGAAGGCCAGAGCGTACAATGGTCTAAACATAGTGAATATGGCAATGAAGATAAGTATAACCGTCCAAGTAATGTAAATAATGCAAGTAAAAGACAAGCTGAACACAAATGTGATTTGGAAATAGATTTATTATTATTATTTTTTTTTTTATTTAATTTATTTATTTTTTTTTTTGTTAAGGCATTTCACCCTAAATAAGGCAGGAGTGCCATTAGAATACATGGGGTTACTGAGAGTAAAGAGGGGTGTTTGAGAAAAGTATAAAGAGAAGATCAAGCCATCAGAAAATGTCAATTGACACTAGATTTGAATATTTGAAGATTATAGCTATCAGGGAAGCAAGTAAAGGGGAGGCAGTTCCACTGTTGGGAAGTGTGAGTGAAGAAGCTGTTGGAGAAGAGACGGTTACATTTAACTGTTTCGACAGTGAAAGGGTGGGACCCAGATGCCAACCTAGTAGCACGTTTAAATTCATGTAGTTGGGGTATCAGTGAAAGTAGCTTGTCAGAAGAGTTAAAATATTTGTAGAAAGATGTCTGTGAGAAAGTGACTACAGTCAAGATGCCTATCACATTAAATATCTATCTTTGGATTTTGTCGAGAACCTTGAGATGAACAGCAGGAACACCAGACCATATATGGCAACAGTATTCAATGCAATGATGAATGGTAGATTTGAAGGATGGAGTCAGACGAGAAAAACCTTTTGGCATGATACAGAAAACCAACTTTCCTTGCGGTAGATGAAGCTATTGATTCAATCTAGTAGTTCCACCTCAGGTCAGTGGAATACGTGAGACCAAGAAGGTGCAGTGAGACGCTCTCATGGAGTTGAGCATCAGTCATGTTGATAGGAGGCAGGAAGCTTTCTCTATGGTAGGTAAATGAGAACAGTTTCATTTTGGAGGCATTAAAGTTTACAAGCCATTTCCTGCCCCAGTCAACCACAGATTGGAGGTCCTTTTCAAGACCAATGTCCAGGTTAATTTTGTCAACAATGCCGGATTTACTATTGAGACAGGAGTAAATGGTAGTGTCGCCAGCATAGATGCCTAGTCAAGATCATTGATGATGGAATCTTGGAACACCAGCCTTTGTATGAAAGGAACTGGAGGAGAACCTCTTTCGGATGACCTTCATTTTATGGCTTGACAAGAATAATTGAATTAAATAAAATAAACATCCTGTAATATCATATCCATGAAGTGTATGAAGAAGGCTGGCATGGCCAACCCTATCAAATGTCTTAGAGATATCTAGAGGCACAGCCCAAGCTTTGCCATTATTATCAAGAGCTTGGTATACAAATTCATTTATGGCTGTAAGCACGTTAGCGGTAGACTGGGCAAAGTGGAAATCATAGTGTTTATCAGAGAGTAGATCATGGGATGTAAGATGCTTAACCATTTTGGCATTAATTAAAGCCTTGAAGACTTTGCTGAAGAGTGATAAGAGACTGATAGGATGGTAGTTAGAAGGGACTCCAGAGTTCTTAAAACCAGGGACAACAGATGAGGACTTTCAACAAGCTGGAAACCAAGAGTCAGTGAGGCAATAATTATATAGTTTGGAGAGAACTGGAGTCAGCTCAGGAGCACATTTCTTTATGACTATGGCTGGTATCCCATCACCACGACTTGCTTTATGAGAATCTAAGTTAGAAATGATGTCCACTACCATCGACAGGTTTATGCTCATCTCACTCAATAGAGCCTCAGTTCTATTCATGCAAAGAATGCACTAATAAATGTACATGGTTTTACACCATATCAACTGACAATTGGGCACACACCTCAACTCCCAAACATTTTTCTTGGTAAACCACCAGCTTTAGAAGAAAGACAAACTGATGATATAATCACTGATGATTTGGCCTGTATGAGAACAGCTTAGAAAGCCTTCATTGAGGCAGAAAGTTCAGAAAGGATTAAATAGGAATTTCAACACACCATAAGTCCAAGCTCCAACAATAAATTTCATATTGGGGACTCCATATATTATAAGAGAAATGACACAAGAAGGGGAAAGGTCCTAGACAAGTCATTGGGCAAGATTCCACTAATGTCCTTATAAAACATGGACATACTTATGTAAGCACACATCCATGTAGAACTAAACTGGACAGAAACATAATAATGAACCGGATGAGAAGCATACATCTACAGAAAATGAGCATCTTACACATGGATTGGTTTATAACAACGGTGTGGATGAAACAGAAAGACCTTCAATGGAAAATACTAACTCCAACATAATTGAAGGAGTTCAATATGACCAACCAGTAATTAATGACCTGACTCCTGTTGAAACAGAAAAAGTTAAAGAAGAGAAGAAAAAGAAAAGAATGGAGATCTGTTTTAAAAAGAAAAATGACGAGTGGAAAGAAGGATGCATTATAAACAGAACAGGAAAAGCAACAGGAAAATATACTAAATACTGGAATATTGAAACCATAAAAATCTAATGAAGTCAAAGAATATGACATTATAAATGATAGTGAAACCTGGCATGAACGAACCCATGCCTCAGAGGAAACTAAAGTAAATATATCAGATCTCCAATTGCAGAACTTGACAAGGATATGGATTCAGTGAAAGAAGAACTAAGGAAATGGAATGAAGAACAGGTGTACTATGAAGTCCCTGACAAGAGAAAAGACAAGCTGTCTACAAGATTACTACTAAATTAAATGAAGGCAGAGTTGCTTGAAAGGTAAGATTAGTGGTTAGAGGATATGAAGAAGATGAAAATGGAAAGCAATCTGACTCTCCTACATGCATGAAAGCAAACATCAGAATCATGTTAACCATATCCATTAGCTGTAAATGGGAGCTACACTCATTGGACATTAAGGCTGACTTTTTACAGAGCAAATGCATTGAAAAAGAACTTTTCATCACTCCACCAAAGGCCTGGTTTTATCTGGAACTGAATAAAGTTGTTTATGGACTGGCAGATGCCTCTCGTAGTTGGTACCTGATAGTGTGTGACGGACTCTTAAAGTTGGCTGTTTAAATATCCCAGTTTGATAAAGCTATATTCCTCTTTAAATCTGAAAAAAAATTGGAAGGTATAATCCTCATTCATTTGGATAATTTTCTTTATGCTGGTTCTAAAAAAATTATGCATGGGGTTATGAGAATTTTTAAGCTGAGGTTTAGAATCTCTAAGGAAGAAAAAGTGTTTTTCACATATCTTGGTATTGACCTAAAGCAGAAAGACTCTTCTGTAATTATGACACAAAGAGACTATTTATCCTCTATAAAAGAAATTATAATGAGTTCTGAGCAAATAAGGAAAAAATACAGAACAGCAACAGATGAAGAGAAGTAAATTCATAAAACATCCATAGGGAAGTTGGCTGGCTAACAAATATCAGTAAACCAGATGGTTCTTTCAAATATTTGTGCTCTTAGCACAGTTCAGAGTAAACCTCAAATATTGGACGTGTTGAGAGTAAATAAACTGCTTACATTCTCATCAGCAATTTAAACCTAAAAAGTATAAGGCTTGAAGTATTTAGTGATGCCAGCTTTGGAAACTTGAGTGGTGGTGTTGCTTCACAGATTGGATATATCATTACTACATGATAAATTTAACAGAGCTGTCCTAATCATGTGGACATCCAAGAAAGCTAAGAGGGTGGCAAGGTCTACTCTCACAGCATGGACATTATCCGCTGTAGAAGCAATTGACTCAAGGTTGATAATGAACTCTTGAATGATAAGATTCCATGTGTAGATCTCCACAGGGATAACAAGAGTCTATATGAGTTAACTAAGACCTCTAATATGGTGGCCAAAAAGAGGCTGTTAATAGACCTTTCAACACTGAGAAATGGTGGGAAAACATCCAATTTCTATCCAGTGGATTCCAACTGATTATCAACTGGTAGATGGATTGACCAAGCAAGGTGGCAGCAAACAAAAGCTTCTTGAAGCTATCCCCAAGGGATATTTAAATTTTTCACCAGTTATGTCATTATTTCAATGACATACATATACACAACAGGGGAAGGTGGTGCCTTTGTGTAATCCAAGAAAAAGTTTAAAACTCTTTTCTCCATAATTTACAAAGTATATTTCTATCAGTTACTATTTAAACATTTTTTGTCATTATGGATAGAATTTTTGAATACTAATGTTGTGTTGCATATTAAATTTTGATGAGATTTATTTTTACTTGTTAGGAACAAGCTAAAATAGCCAAGCTTGGTTTGGAGATGAAATTGATAACATCAGAGATGGATGCTGAGGCTGATAAATGGGAAGAACCTGACAATGACATTGTGAAACGTGCTAAGAATATGTCTAGCATGGCATTCTCTATGTACTTATTTACACGAGGTGAAGGACCCTTGAAGACCACGCAAGACCTCTTCACACAAGCAAAATACTTTGCAGATGAAGGAAACAAATTATATAAGACTGTTAAAGAATTTGCTGAACGGGTAAGTGTTTCCCCTTCACCGGCAATGTGATGAGTAGTATGTCACTTACGTCATTTGGGGATTTTTCTTAATCCAAGATGTGCTGTTGTTGCTTTCTTTTTTTTTCTCACCCCCAGGAATATGTAGGATGGTATGTAATTTATTTAAATCCAAGAGGTGTATATGTTCTATTTTATTTTGTATTATACTAAAAACTTTTGAGTGATTTGAGAGGTTTTTTAAAATAATTAAATCAAAAAAGAAAAATTGAATTTATAATTCCAAAGCTTACAGTTGATAAGTCTGGTTAATTCCCATTGTATTTTGTATTGTGTATTTATTATGAATTATAAGCAGATATAATCGCTCTGATTCAGGACTAAGGTACACACAGTTTATCAGAAATTTTGAACTTCTGAAAAATAGAGATTACTTGTACGTATGGTATTTACTTTTGTTTCTAAAATTAAACTAAAAAACATTGATGTTATTAACCCTCAAAGTTATATATATGTGCATACATTTTTATGAAAATCTATGACAAAATTTCCTGTGTGATGCATTTTGTCCTTTAAGACTTCATTGAGCCAAATTGATGTTTACAGTGATGTGATTGTATATGTTCATCAAAGAGAAGGGATGCTAAAATTATAAAATTAAAAAAAATGTATTTGGGTATATAGTCCAGCCAATTTTATTTAGTTTCTTTTCCATTTTCTGTTTTTGTATCAGTTTTGTCATTAAGTATCCCACATATTTACATATACACACATTTTTGGGACAACCAGTATTTTGTACAAGTATATTTTTGTAAAATGCTTATACACTTCAATAATTTTTTATCTTTAATTAGTGTTTCACATTCCAATACCACATTAGTATAAATTTCCATTCTTTAAATGTCTTTTTCTCATTCTAATGGCACCTCTTTCTTTACTTTGAAAAGAAAAGCTGTTAATAGAATTATGAACTGATAAAATATGTAAATATTTTGGAGACTCACTGTGTGTGTATTTTATGCTAAAGTTCACCCAATACAAGGCTCAAGAGCCACTGAAGGTAGAGGGTTACTGAATAATGTATTTAATATGAATGTAAGAGATGATAGTAGGAACTAAAGATTATGAGGATAAAGAAGAAGCAATTAAGATTGTAGTATTCAGTGAAGCATATATGTTAGTGTCTGTTTTACAAAGTAGCAGTTCTTGGAGGTGGGGAGAGCTGTTTGAGGGTAACTTGGCTCTGTGGAGTTGGCGCACACATACCTATATATATATATATATATATATATATATATAGAGAGAGAGAGAGAGGAGGAGATCTCCAAAGATTTGCTAAAAGTAAACATAACATGGTGAAAAATGCCCAAAACTTAAAATCTTTATTACTAAAAGGAAAGACCAAAGGATTTTTTGATGTAAAAATAATTTTTTAGAGCTTTACAGATTTTGGTTAAAAATCTTGTTTTTCTTATCAACATGGGACCATAAATCTGTATGGGAAATTTGTGTGTTTTTTGCAGTGCAATACACCCAGATTTGGAACTAATTGTCAGATAAAGCTTTAATTAATTTGTACCAGTTAGGTAATATTGCTATTAAGTAAAAACTATATTTACTAATAATAAATGGAAAAACTTATTACAAGTCAGTGAAAACCACTCATTCTGCAGTATTTTAAAAAGAATTTTGAATTTTTGTGTATATAAATGTACCAATTTTTGTAAATACATACATTCATATATCAGAAAATAAGAGCAGTAACTATAGTAAATTTAAAATTTATTGGTAATTTTCTATTTCCTTTTCATAAATAAGACTATAAAACCAAAGTACTTAAAATTCAATAAAATATTAGATCACTAAAAAATTATATAAAAAAGGTGCTCACATTATATTCATCAAGTAATTTTTATAGTTATGTCCCTCATAGAAAAATTTCCAAACATAAATCTATTATGAAAGTTGTCAACTCCTCATAAAAAAACACCCAGTTCTGTATTAAAAAATATTTTCAGTGATATTTTAAACAATTTTAATATTTGTTTCAAATCAGATTAATTAAACTTTAAATCAGATTAATTAAACTTTAAATCAGATAATAGAAAGTGAAAAGTATATTTTATTTTTGAAAAAATTTTTAATAAAGAGAATTTTAACAATTTAAAAAAAAATCATTCCAAACAATTTAAATTCATTTTGAAATATAGCAAAGTATTTTGTTTATTGGAAATACTGAATTATAATTGAAACTAAAATAAAAGCTTCATGATTTTTCATTTTTAAAAATGCATTTTAAACCTTGGGTATCACTTTTCTTTGGAGGTACCCAGTTATAACAGATTTCTTGTTATGAAATTACTTAGTCTACTCGATATGGTTCAGTTTCGTTAACCTAGAGCATCTACTTTAACATTATACTTTTATTGTAAATCTAACCTCTTGCTAAAAACCTAAAACATTTGTCATTTTTAAAACTCAATATGCCAACAACATGCTCTGGTGCCCTGTTACCACAAAAAATTACTCCAGCTGTCCTTGAGTTTATGTAATGACAGACAAAAGTGACATTTGGTGAATAACAGTTGTGTGTGCATGCATGTGTGCTGAAGTCAGGTCATCTTACATTGCAAATGGATTATAATTGCAGACAGTTGTATATGCAATGATTGCTTTCCTGGCTAGGAGAAATCCTGCATAAGTGCAGACAAAGCTAAGGCAGGAAATAAATGGTCCCTAATAGGGCATAATTACATTATTAATTCTTAATGCTCTCTAATATCTGTGCCTTGCTATGACGATTTTTACTCAACTGTCATGCTACATATCCACTCAAGTGATAGCTTAGTGGTTAGTTTTAGATCAGAAGTCAATAACACTTCTCTCAATGAAAAATATCTTTCTCAATGAAATGGGATCATTAATTTTATATTTTATTATAATTAAGGGGTTACATAAGGCATAATTTTTGTGATGAAAGATATAGTCAACAAAACTTGCAGAATAGGCAGCATTTTTTTTTCTTTTTCCTGTACTACTTTTAACTTGTAATTTTTTTTTCATTTTGTGTTCTTTAGCTCACCATCTCTAAAGTGATTGTTTCCTTGACATCATTATCTAATCTGTTGCAAATTCTAAAAACTCTTGTATTTTGTTTTATGTCATCTATTTTTTAATCTTTGATAAGTAAGGTTTCTTATTTCCTACTGCATGGCATTGATAAGAGCCGCAGTAGAAACAGGTTTGAAAATATATTTGGTAATATATAACGTTTTCAAACATTCTTAACTCCAGTTCACTGCATGGCAGCATTGAGTAGAATATGTATTTGTTAGTCATACGTCTGAGTTACAATATCTAAAGTAGTGATAAGTGATACAATATTTTGGCACTAGGAGATTGCTTGATAATTTAGTTAGTTATTATGAAAACTTGCATTGTAAATGTATTGAGTAATACATTTACAAAATAAAACCTGAAATAAATAAATATATAACAACAATGCAAGTCTGCAGTCAAAAAATATTGAAGAGCCTGCAATTCAGTTGCATATTTTCAGGTGCAGTCAGAAATACATTGTGTAGAGTCCTAATTTTGTCTCTTTAAACTTATCATTGTTCTTGAAATTGAAAGAGATTAAAAGGTCAGCATTTTTCATCCAATGTTGAAATTGCTATGCACTAATGAAACTTTCTTTATGGATAGAATGAAAAAAAAAAATGGTAGAATATTTGATAAAATCTGTATCATTAAATGGTTTGTTGAGGAAAAACTTTAAGAGAAATAAATTTTCTTCAATTTGATTATACTACCTTGTCTGAAACTTGTCTTATAGGATTGAAAAGTTTATCAATCAAAATTTACATATGTGTATACAAAGAACAGATGAAAAAAAATTTGTAGTGTGCATTATAGCCAAAATTGTCTATTAAATTTGGGAGATATTTCCTTGATAACACAGAAAAAAAAATTAATTTCAGTCTTTAAAATCTTTTTTACTTTTAAAACCAATTTTCTTTCTGAAATTCCTACATTAATATTAATGTTGTGTGTATATTTTTTCTAGGTACCTACCAGTGGACATAAAGAAGAATTGGAAGTTCACCTTGACCGAATACCTATGTTCTGTCAACAGCTCCTGAAAACACTGCGAGCCCCTACCTTTGGCAAGGCAGCCACTTTTAATAAGGTAATTCTATTGTTATAAGATGTGTGCATAAAATTTGATCAAAAAGAAAATTTGAAATAAAGAGTACTTTTGGAAATTGAGATATATATCTTGTATATACTAATATTGTTTTTATAGTCATATATGGGAATGCATGTCATTATATAGGAGAGAGTATATATGAGAAATGAGAGAATAAGAGATTGTAGCCAGAAATATAGAAAATATATTTGCATCCACTTTTTATAAGACTTTATTTCTATCCAATGTAACTTTGAATCATTTTTTTTAAATCTCTTATATTCTTAAAAAAAGAAAGTATAAGTTTTTGTTTTGTTAAATAAGTTTTTTTTACAATATCATGAATTGTGTTAAAAAACCTACCCATCCCCCACAAAAACAATTTATTTTTTAAGAAATAAGTTGTATGCCTTTACTTTGAAAAACAAGTATTATTTTCTTTTTTTCAGTGTGGGATTAGAGCATTAAACGAAAAGCTTTGACAAAATCTTTTCATAGCACATTAAATTTAGAAAAAAAAATTATTCTATGGGAGGTAATTTAATTTTTTGCTTATTATTTACTTCCCCTTCTTTTAGCGACATTTTGAAGTTTGTCAAGTTTTATAGTTTTTGCAATTTTACTTTTTTGTTTCTATTATCGTAGGGAATTTCATTTATTTTTTTTTTTTAAATATACGTCAATATTTTAAAACAAGCTAAAAAGTTGCCAATATTTTTTTAACAAAAAGAACCAAGATCACCTTGTTCATTTTCGCTTTTCTTCCTATCATGACTTTGCTCTCTCTCTCTACTTAATTTGTCTGTAGGTACCTACCTAACTTTGGTTAATACTGGCTAGTGAAACTTTCCATCAACAGAGATAATCTGTACCATAGCAGCAATTGCTTTCTCTTTCTGTACTTAAAATGGCAATTAGTGCTGCCATGCTACTATATAAGGTCATTGATTACTATCAACCAGCCTCTGTCCACAACATTTTCAAAAGTTAAACTGATGGGGTTTATAAAAAAGTTATTGTCAGTGATTGTTACATGTGATAATCAGATTTTAAAATATTTCCTCTCAGCAGAAATTCAGAGCATGAACCCTTTTTAAATAACTAATATTGTTGCCTTAACTCAATGTTTTCACCTTTTTGAGCAACAGCACACCTAGGGGCAAATGAAAATATCATGGTTCACTTAGCAAAATTTTTAAAGGGTATACATTTAAATGTTATGAAATAAAAAACAGATTTTAAAAAATACACACAGAAATATGAACTTTATTTCAATGTTTCTATTCAACTATTTGTGCAGCTTATTTAGTGTGAAACCTGTGCCTGGTGTTTTTTCACAATTTCTTCAACATTTGGTTGAATGTGTGGTAAGCAGAATCTAATTTCTTCTTCACTTGAGCTTAGTCTTTATTGCTTCTTATTTTTGATGTTATTTAGGGTTGAGAAAGCCGATTCACATAAATAAGAAGTATAAAATTGATAAAACTTTTTTATGTGGGATATTATTTTTTTTATTGAAATATATATGTATGCCATGACAAGATTTTATGGCACACTTAAGAGGATCATGCAGTACACTAGTGTGTCATGACACAACATTTGAGAATCACTTCCTTAATTGACTAACATATTAAAAGGAAATTCTTTTACTGATTCTATGAAACTGTGCTGTTTCTATACTATATATCTTCATAGCTTTCTTGTTTTCCATTCCTTTTCTTCAGGTGGACAGTGCCATACAAGAGACCAAGAATTTGATGAATGCTGTGGCAAAAGTTGTGACTACCAGTTTTATATGTGCCACAAAAGTAAGAATTCTTTCAACTTATTTTTCTTTCTGCTTTTTTAGTTTAATATTAATTGCTACTTTTGTCATTTTTTTTTCAAAAGTTATATTATTGTTACCTTATTTTTTTTATTAAAAGAAAAGTTTGATAATCTATTTATCAAACTTCTTTTTTGAAAAATTGCTTTAAGGTGTAACTCTTTAGCAGCTTGTTTTTTTTTTTATTTTAAAAACATTCATTGGTCTTTGTTACAGCAGAAGCCCAATAGAGTTCATAAGGATGGTCATCGATGACAGAACATTTTAAATTTTGAAACAGGTATTGCTGGCACACAAGCTAGAAGAAACATGTTCTATGTATTCTTTCACAATATATGTAGTCCTTATCTACCACTCACTGCTTCCAGAGTTTTGATGTTTTTATATTTTTCTGAAAAATAATTAAAAAAACAATATCACTCTTCATTACATGTCATTCACTAAACTAATTAGTTCCTCTTAGTACACTGCTTCTTTTTCCATTAAATTCATGGAAACCTTATTACCTTTCATTTTCTTATTGTCATTCACAGAGTTTATCATTGTGTTTATAATAGTTGTCTTTATAATTCTAAATTCATTTAACTGCACAAAAGCTTCAATTTCACAATCAACATAACATCAAATAACAATTACTCAACACACTCAGACTCAAATTCTATGCTGCATCTTTATTCTAAGATCATCTGTTGATATTTTAAATTCAAAATCTCTGTAATCACATTTTTCTATTTTGATTTTTCTCTTTGCAATTTGTTTTGAAACCATTTGTCTATTCAAAAGATTCCTCATACATATTTTTCTGTATATGTTAATAATTAAAAGTAAAGAAAGAAGTGAATTTAAGCCATGTTTGTTTTATGCATGATTTCTCCCATCTATCATCTACATCATATATGATATACAAAATAAGCAAGCATTAAAGTTTTTTTTCGTTTTTGAATTAAGTTTCAAAGCTACCATAAAGATGCTGTCATAAAAAGATGTAATAGATGAAAACAAGTACTATTGGTCTTTTAATATGCCCAGAAAATAAAATGTTCTATCTTACTGACATCTTTTATTAATAATTTAATGATTATATAAAATTAGATGTAATTATTATAAGTTTTAATAAGTAATATCAAAAATTGATTACACATAACAAAAGTCATTGACCTGTAAATTACTTGATGGTAACATGTCAGGCAGATTTTGTGAAATGGTGTGCCATTTTAAAAAAAATTAATAATGAATTGTCAAATAAAAAAGGTTTAATGATTTAAATTCTGACACATTTTTCTAGATTTATACATTTGCTCATCCAGGTAAGATAGTTGTATTGCATTTATTAACATATATCATGTCTATTATCATATATATATATATATATTAAGAAATGGACAAAGTCTGACAATTTATTTATTAAAGACATTAAATTAAAGAATGTTAAACATAAAAATGTCTTTAATATATATATATATATATATATATATATATAACATATATCATGTCTATTATCATTGTTGTTGTTAGAAAATAAATATGATATCTGTTGATAAATTCACAAAAAATTATCATGACATGTAGATCTATGTCTATAAAACTCTGAGTCAAGATAAATCATTGAACTTTTTATTACCTGGTCACTATAATTATTTTATAAATATACCAATTACAATTGTATAAAGATCTGTTTACTTTAACCTTTGTTATATCTTAATTTTTATTTTTTAAATTTTTGTCTGTTCACCTAAATATGTAAAGTATGAATAATTCTCCCCATTTACTATCTATAAAATCCATTAATGTTGAAGAAAAAAAAATCTCACCTTTGCTATTTAGTGACAAAACTAAGATCCTAGTTCAAACTTTCACACTCCAAAATAAGATTATAAAATACTGTAATTAATATTTATATATTTGTATATTGTCCCACCAACAGCATTTAAAAATGTGTGATGAAGTAGATAAGATCAGTAGCGTCTAATAAATAAATATAGATAGTTATATTGAATATTTCTGTATAAACACTATACCATCTTTTTTAGTGAGTCAAAAAAAGGTATTATATATAATATCCTGATGACCTACATTTATTATTAGGAGTGTTTATTCATGATTGAAATATATTTTAAGGTTTAAAATATATATTTACATATAAATAATTTATTTTTATAGATTAAATATATTTCAGTTAAATTTACACATTAATTGATGGTCTTGTACTGGAAACATTTGTATCAAGTTGGCTTAAATCAGTTATATGTGTAGTTTTAAGAAATATGCTATATTTATGGGTAAAAGTGCTCAATATCAGGGATAGACAGCCCGGAGATCACATTCAACCATGAAACAGACTGTTGCCACTCTTTGTTGACCTCAGTGTCCATTCTTTTATATATATATATATATATCCAAATTTATAACATATGCATGTCATGAAATCAATACAAAATTTTCAATTTTGTTACAACACTTCTGGTGTCTTGTCAAATGGTTTTAAGAGTTCAAAAGACAACCAAACCCTGCTCAGTAGGAGAAACTTTGTTAGGTAACTTATGATGACCAATCAAAATACATATGGTAATTTAAAATAACAACATACTCTAGTATAAGTACAATCAATTAGTGCATTAAAGTTAAGATTAGCTTAAATTAGAAATCTATATAAAAATTAAATTTTAAGTTAACAGTTAAATATAAATTAAAAATTTCAAATGTCAAATTCTAAAGTTAACCAAGCAATAAGTTTAATATTATTTCAAGATTATTCAGAAATGAAACTAGGAAAAAAAATATATTTTATTGTTCTTAACAAAGTGCCACTTTATCAGTTCAATGCTGATAAAAAAAAGTATCTTTGATTACTACACATATTAGATACATATAAGTCCGAATTCAAATAAGTATTCACATCATAATACACAAACATGTATATATAAGCTAATATATGAGCGCGCAAATACAAGGACATATATTCACACAGGAAATAGAGGAAGGAAAAATTTTTAAAAAATAAGAATAAAATAAGATTAAAAAAGAAGAAAAATGAAGGCAAACATACATGAAAAAAAAACACGCACACAAAAGAAAATTATGCCAGACATATGGAGATTAAAACAAAAATGTTAAAAATCGCTACATAATAGCTTTCTTGTTTCAGGACTCAAATTGCGCCTCCTCAGTTGGTAGTAAATAACTGGTGAGTAAAAAAATTATTTTCAAATTTCAAAAGGTTTTGAAATTTAAAAATGATTTTTTACTCCTGCTAAAGAAAGAGTGTGCCTCTGACAGGAATTGAACCTGCATCCTATTTTCCATCAGAAAACGGTTTCTGTTCCTATAGCCAAAACTTGTATTTACCAATTTAGCTATGGAGGCCATATTGATAGAGTATAAAACTAAAGCTAACAGATTTAGATTTTTAGAAGTCCCATTGAGGAAAATTATGCATTCCTGAAACCTGTATTTCAAATCTTACTCTCTTAACACAGCCTCATCTTTAGTAGGATTTCTCAATCTAAGCTGGTTCTTATTAATTTCACTGTTTAAGAAACAGAGATAGCAACTCAAATACGTGTATTCACTAAAAATAATATATATATATATATATATATAAAAACTCATTTACAAGCCAAAACACCTAAGGTTTTTCCAGATGGGTATAATTACTTATATTTATAAGATTATTATATATATATATATATATATATATATATATATAATGTCTTGCATGAACTCCTGGGTTTTACATGTGAATTCGATAGGCTAATGTTTACCTAGATGTTGTAAATTACCAATACTTGTACCTAGTAACATTAGATAATGTGTATGTGGAGGGTAATCTGCCATCAAATATACTATCTTGTGTTAATGCAGATATTTCCACACAGTACTTTAAAAAAATATATTCAAATTTTTTTCCCGTAGCTTAACTTTATTGTACTTCAGTATCTTTGTATAAAGGTAAAAGATATTATGGCCCTATTTAGATTTTAGAAATATACTCAAAATAATCAAAATAGTTGATTTAAAATTCAATGAATCTAGGCTGAAAATCCATATTATAAAATCCAATAGTTTTTTTTAATTAACATTCAAATGCACAATTGGTTAAGAAGCTTAATTCTTTGTGAAAGTCGTCTGTCCATTGTACAGTTTTTCAATCAATAGATGAAAGCTAACTTGAAAAGAATGCTTGTAGATAAATATTTAATGATCTTTTATGTAACCAACTTACTATTGTTTTAATGTATATCCATATTATTCCACTTTAGAATGATTGCAAAGATCCTTTCTTGATGATTTATTGAAGTATTATATGTGAATTATAATAGAGAGAGAGGATAGAATTAAAAGGCATAAATAAAGTGTAGAGAAAGAAATGGTTAATCACAAAACCAAATGGAACATGATAGATATTGTTTCATTTGTAATTTTTAATGATTAATAATAATAATAATAATTGTATATAATGTTTATTTCTCAATCCTGATGTTTGCATCTTCAATCTCTTTCCAGTATAACATTGATTGTCGGTCATCATCAATCCCATCTTATAAATGGCGTGGCAGTTCCCAACGTTTAGATGTCCAGGCTAATGGCAGCACGGATTTTGGCAGTGAATCAGGCAGCAGCAGTACTACCAATACAGCACCACCCTCACTTCAAAACTCATACACAGAGGGCCTTTATCGTAGTTCCTCTCTTAACAAGCCTCTATCCAGCATTGGACTCTTAGATTCTTGAAGAATAGGATGTTTTCTGGATTTACCCCAGTAGCAATTGCAATGGAAAGGACACTGAAAAACTTGCTTACTTTGAATTTGGGGTGTAATGCTGAGAAATCAAATTTTGTATTGGGAATAGTTGAAATAAAGAAGAAAATGCATTACGATGGAGGCTTATTTGCTCAGGTGACACAAATTTGAGGTGCAATTAAAAGGGAAAAAAATGGTCAGAATTCTTGAAATGAAACTCAAGAAAATACAAGTTAATAAAAGCAAAGAAAAGTATAAAAGAAGAAAAAATAATTAAACAAGAAATTAAATGATTAACAGTATCAAAGATAAATGATAAACAACCCACCAACAAATACATGCAACATTCTCTTCTGTGATATTGAAATAATTTCAATTTCGTATATGGGAGCCTGTTTTTGTATCTAAATTTCTGATATGTGTGTGTGTGAATTGGTTTGCCATTTATTAGTATGTATATCTACCTATCCATCCATCTGTCTATCTCGATCTATTTGTATCTTTCAGTTTCATCTTTTTGATTATATATTTGCTTGCTTATGTGTCTCTCAAAAAGTCACACGTTGATATTGTGTTTGTGACACTTTCACTTCCCCTCCTTAATAAAGTCACACTAAACATACAACTGCTTCTTCATATTCATAGTTTTATTACTTTGGTTATGGAATAAACACTTATACACTACAGATTCTTAGAGGGTTAAGTACACTTGCCTATTCTACATGTCACTGTAAGTCTGATATAATTAACTATACACTCTTATTGTGCACTTTATAAACCTGTTAACTTAAATGCTGACTAGCATCACTGAAAGTTATGCTGTTAGATTTACTCATTTTACTAAACGGTTATGTTAGGTAAATGCATACATATATTCTAATCATGTCATCTAACCTGTAAGTTTGTATGAGGGGTGCTGAAAACACCACAGTCTGTCCAAGAAGGAATTTTTTTTTAAAAATATCTGATGTTTGGTCATTTTTTGTGTAAGTGTGTTTTCACCAAGAAATATTAAATAAAAACCTAGTGAAATTTTAATGAAGCACACAAAATATAAATTAATTGCATTGACTTGTGAAAAATACTTTCATTCATTAGTCATAGCTAGTGCTAAATGGGATAAGTTTTTATAATAAATGCAGAAAAACAAATTTTTTTGCCAATAATTAATGTTTGACATCTGTCTATATTTCTGAGATGAGGTATTGTAACTATTTACACTATTTACATTGTTCAGACTGTTTTCCTCATCTTTGTTGTCATATTTA